AAAGTTGACCTGTCTGGGCAGCTACCGCTGATGCAATAGCTGATTCCCAGCCTATATTTGGCTGGGTTGTTGGATCTGGGCCAAATTGGCCGATCCAGGGAGTGATTTGGCCAGGGAAGTTCCCTGGGGAGTATGCCTGGGGCTGCAGCAGCAATTGCTGCCCCTGGAATGGCGCTTGTTGTGCCATCGGTGCAGTTTGTACTGCATATGGTTTTACACATGAGCCTGGGGATCACGTGGTCTAGGCGAGTTACTCGCCTAGCCCATGTGATGTCTAGCCCATGGTGTGGCTGTCCGGGCGAGTTGCTCGCCCAGAATCTTCCCACGCTCTTGGCTGTGGGTGAACGCCCTTCAGCTTTACTTTTTCCGCCTCCGTTTTTGGGGGTGTAGTGATGCCGAAAGTTCCGTATCTTCTTAGATCAGGAGATTTTCCGGTTCCCTCACATTTTGTAATGTGAGGTACTCGTCCAGGTGGATGAGGTCATTACGATTTCCTAGGGGTTCCCATGTGGTGTCCCCTAGCTCCCATTTGGCCTTAAACCAGAGTTCGTTGTGAACCCATGCGTGGTTTAAGATTTCGCAAACTACTGCTTCGCAATCAGGGTCTTCCCCAAATCGTAGAATATGTTTACTTCCCTATTTGGGAAGATTTCTTGGTCATTCGGCTCGTGAGGTACGAGCCGGGATATGTGGAATCTTGGGTGGATTCCGCATTGTTCAAGTTGTGGTGGCAACTTGAGGATGTAGTTTGACGTCTCTGGAAATGTTTCCAGAATTTCATAAGGCCCTATATACAGGGGCTTTAGTTTGCCTGCCCTCCCTTTGGGTAGGTTCAACTTATCTGTGGATAAGTATGCAAGTTCACCTTTTCTCAAAGGCAGGTCCAGGCGTCTTTTCTTATTCGCCTGGATTGTTTGAGCAGCGCGATTGTGTATTATCGCATCGTGTGCTGCCATGAGGTTTTCCTTCGCTTTTTGGGTGAAGTCATTTACTCCCAGGTAGTCCGAGAGTGGTGCTGTTAGGCACATCTTTGGCATATGGCCGTAGATTAATTCGAACGGGGCAAATCCTGTTGATGTGTTCGAGCTTGCATTGATCACGAATTCTGCCATTGACAGTTTCGCTGCCCAGTCGCGTTGATTTGGTCTAACCATCACGCATAGTATTTGTACTACTTTTTGTATCATTCTTTCCGCTTGGCCATCGCCTTGCAGGTGGAATGCAGTTGTGAATTTCAACTGTACACCGAGTATTCGGTGTAGTTCACGCCAAAATTTTGACGTGAATTTCAAGTCTCGATCTGATATGATCGAGTGTGGTAGACCGTGGAGTCTTACAACTTCACGAAGAAATACGAATGCTAGTTCTAGTGCGTTCGTTGTTGTCTTTACTGGAATTAGGTGGACATTGGACGTTGACCTACGAATGATTACCCAGAGGTAATCATATCCCAAGCTTGTTGGGAATGGACCTGTGAGGTCCATAGCTATTGATGACCATGGGGTCTCCTGGGTCGGGAGTGGGTGAAGCATTCCGGGATTTCTCCTGGTGCTTTTCTTTGTTGTTTGACAAGTTCTGCAAGACCTGCAGAACTTGTGGGTATCCTTCCTCATCGACTTCCACCAGAAGTGTCGATGGAGGGTTTCCACTGTTTTCTTGGATCCTAGGTGTCCAAGTGTTTCGTGGATGTTTTCGAGGATTATTCCTCGAATGGACTTCCTTTCATAGTTCCCTTTCGGGACTACTATTTGGGTCATTCCTCCTTCTCCAAGTTGGGTTATCAGCCCATCTTTTACGAGGAAGTTTTTGAAGTTCCCCAGGTTCTCTAGGATTTCCCGGTGGATCTGGCTTTTCTAGTATCCAGATTTTATTGCCTCAATGAGGTCTTTCTCTTCGAATTGTTTTCGAAGGTTCTCTTCTGGATTTTGGGTGCTCCCCCCTAGAGTTTCTTCTAGGTTATCGCTCCCCCTAGAGCTTCCTCTAGGGTATTTCTCATGCATATCACTGCGAGTCTCTTTCTCTCTGAGTTTTTACTCAGGGTACTGCTTAGTAGCAGTTTTTCGTATTCCTCGATTCTGTCGGGGATAATATCTTCTGCATTTTTGTCCAGATGGATGTCCGCCAACACATAGTTGTCGAAATGCAGATCCTCGTCCGTTGACGAGTCATAGTACCGTGAGAGTGCATCTGCCACTTTGTTCTTGTGGCCTTCCACGTATTTTATTTCGCAATTGAAGCTTGCGAAGAAGGCTTGCCATCTCAGGTGTCTACCTGAGTTGTGGTTTCTCGCTTTGAAATATTCCAAAGCTTTGTGGTCTGTGATTACTGTGAATTCACGGCCTCCCATGAGCTTGTCTTGCCATCTCATGAGTGCTTCGAGGACACCCAGTGCCTCGAGCTCGTAGGCAAAGTACCTACATTGTGTGTTGGGAGTATCACATAGGTTGGGCCGAGTTATTCAGCTTTATCCCTGTTTGCGACATCAGCAAACCTGGATGCGGAGGCCTGAGAGCTCATAGAGCTCATAGAGCTCTCAGAGCTTCAGTACTTTGAAATTGCAGGTCCCCTTCTCTGAGAGCTCCAAAAAGTAGTCAAAGCTCTGAGAGCTCATAGAGCTATATTTGCACACAGGGGACTATTATCTATATGAGCTCCCTGAGTGTTTAATTTACCCGATATTAAAATTTAAATTTAAAAGCATTGACTATGGCATCATGTGACTAGCCATAGCCAAGTCCCTACCATACCAGGGACTGAACAAACTCAGCTTCACTTTCAGCACCAATGCGGCACCAGACACCAAGGGTATGTAGCCCAATCAATATATAAGCCAAATTTAGGGATATAAATGCAGTTAATTTAGGGAAAATGCGGGAAAATGAGTGGGAAAATGCAGTAACTTGCAAAAAGTGTAATGGCGGTTCATGAACCATCATGGAAGTCATGACATTTCATGAATGGTCACCAAACTTCATGAAGCAGCATGGGGTGTCATGCACAGTCATGCTGGTTCATGACAAACCATCATGGAATTTCATGAGATGTCATGAACCTGCATGGGGGGTCATGATTGCTCATGACTTAAGTGGTTCCAGGCAGGTTTTGAGTGGTTACATGCCTGTCTATGAAGTGTCATGAAGTGTCATGAGCCCTCATAAAGGATCATGGACCCTCATGGACCCTCATGAATCACTATGAGTCTTCCCAAGAATCATTGTGATTGATCAAAAATTAGGATTGTTGGTACAACAATGACAGTTGGGGGCATAATGGTTAATTACATGTTACCCTTAAGTTGAAAGTGATATGAAAGCATCACACAAGAGGGGGTTGCTCTAGTTGATTTCAGACTAAGGTCCCTGAAAGTATTTACAAGGTATAAATAAGGGAGAGAAATCATGGGAAGGGCCAGTCAGTCCAGTGCAGAAATGAGTGGGGATTATCAAAGACAAGAACCCAGGTGAAGAATGAATATGTAAAATATTGACACTTGATCTGCTACTATATTGGCACCCAGGTTGTCAGTTGCCTCCCTACTTTGCCTCTTTGTTTAATTGTTCATTCCACTCTCATTCATTCTCTCACTCTCTGTCTCCCTGGTTCTCATCCCTCATTTAGTTTGTCATGTTCACCGCTCTGCCTCCCATTCAGGTGCCAGACTGACCAGCCCCTCTTCTGTTCTCCCTTTCGTATTTATGCATTGTAGATAGTATACTACCTATGTACCCCAGTTTGAATGTCAACTAGAATACCCCCCAAGTCCTCTTGTCCATAGTTGTCAGGGACAGCTCCAAAAGTGGCAAAGTCCCAGCATGGGGGACTCGATGGGATGAGTAGTGGCTATGCATAGCAGTGGTCCTGTCATGGGGTGAGCATCCCTGACCACTTAGTCTGAAGTGGGAAAGTGAGAAGAAGGCTGCTTCTTCTGTTCCCACCCCAGGTGCTGTTATATACATGTGGCTGAGGTCACATGGAAGGAGCCATGCCATCTCTGCACACAGCCGCACCCCTCTGGGTGTCTCTGCAGGAGATCCTGGGGGTGGCCACTGTGTGGGTGGGAATGTGTGCAGTGGGTGCGGCAATAGGGGCAGTGGCATTAGGGTGTAGTGGTACAGGAGGGGTGTGCAGCATTCCCAGGTATGTGGGTGCACCAGTGGTACATAGAGAAAGAGGAAGTCAACCATAGAACAGAAATAGAGAGAAAGAGGAAAAAGGAAAGGTGAGGGGGGAAGGTGAGATAGGAGGAGCAAGAAGCAAGGGCAGGGGAAGTGGAGTAGGGTGGCATGGTGCAGCGTGGGGTCAGGCAGGGTATGCCCTGACAATAGTTCACCTCTGACTTTGTCTTCACTTGAACCTACATCGCCACCAGGTTCCCTCCACTACACCTGAACACAGGATAGCCTAGAGCATGTGGCACAACGCTCCCACTGAGTTGTTGAAACCAACATCCCAACCCCCTGACACCTTGCAATGGAGTAACCTATCAGCTAAGTGATTGTTATGGAAATGGGAATTTCCCATTTTAGACTCTTATGGGTTCTGTATCACATGATTTGTATAATAATTAAGTCTATCCAATCAATAACAACCAATAACCCGCTGTGCTAACATCTGTATAACCATATGAACCCCATTCCCCGACCTTTCCCCTTTCCTGCGCCTCGAATGGACGAAAATGGGCGCCTCCGGCCCCATTTTTGTAACAGTGATCACTCACACTGCCATACTCTGCTCCACTTCCCACGAATACCCTCAAGCACTGTTTCTGACACCAAGCAGCAAAGGTGGCTGGAGGAAAAGTGGAGTTCAGTGCAGTGCCGACACAAGTCCATGAGTTGGAGGTTGATCAGTCAGTGCTGTCACAAATAAGGTCTGTCACATGACAGTTCATAAGTGCTTGTGACATCTCATGCATTGACTCATCATACATGTTCATGGAGCATTGTGAATGTCCATGATGCATCATGGGACATTATAGCATTTTACATGATGGGGAAAGGTCAAAATAAACATATGACACTCCATGACACTCCATGAACCTTCATGAGTACAAAGACAAACTCACCATTACCAGGTATGTAGGAGTCATGCTCCTTCAGGAGAACATTTACCGCTGTCTCCTGACAGATTGCTGCCATTATCTCTAAAGGCACATCATCTTCTGGTAGCGAACTCAAAACATTTTCGTCTATCGTATACTCTGAGAAGCAGTGATTGTGTTTCCTCAGCCATTGAAGTGCCTCCAAAACAGCTCTCCTCCGAATGCGAAACGTTGACTTAAGCCAATGCTGTGGCAGATGGCCGACACTGACATAAGTGATGGATATGACAGAGGAAAATACCCCCACAGGACGGGGCAATTTGCGTCCATGGAGCATACTCAGGATATCCTCAGTGTTCATAGGAAAGCTCGTCACATTCCCCTGTAAGCCAGATTGTAGACATGTGGGATCATCCCTAGGTCCACCTTTGGGGAACATTTTGAAAATGAAGCAACGTGGATAAATTGGCGATAGCAGGAGCTGTTCTGGCATTGTGAGACGAGATAGCTCGACAGGTATATTGCCTATCCACATTTTATTTGATAAGGAAAATTGGGGGATTTTATCTTGATGAAGATCTTGAAGGCAAGTTTTACACAGGTTAGCTTGCAACTTCCCATTGACCTCAATTACGCCATGTTTCTCCAGCAGCATGCCGGAAATGAGATGTTGGGCTGGAGGACTATCTGCTGGTTTCAAATGGTGTGCATTTGGAATTTCGCTAACATCGACTACGATGCACTCGTGCTCCCATCGCAGCTGTGCACACACAGCGCAAGTGACCTCTCGAACTGCCGCAGGGGAGATCACATCTAGGAAGGCTGCCTGGCAATCACGAAGCTCTTTTTCGGTGGGGATATGCAAAAATGGATAACTTTGGTCATTGTCGTCGATTTGAAATGGGGTTTGTTCGTCTTCTGGCTCGACCATTTGGGTATCTTCACTATCGATGCAGCAGCTCGATGTGGAGTTCTTCAGTCTTTTCCTTAGTTCTGGTGCTGGCGAGTCCGCTTTCCTCTTATTTCTTGATGGTCTACACTTCTTACAATCACGATGTTCCTCGAAAATGGCTTGTGTATCACTGGGAAGGGCTTGGATGAAAGATAACATCTCTTCACGGTTCCGCTGAGCGATCCTTGACGCTAATATCGAGCGCTCTCTGCAGATTGCGATGATTTCTGCCATTGTCAACAGTGAAAGCCAATCCTTCACCTTGGTTCGAAACTGTACGCGTTGGTGAGACTGAACATCGGCAGGTATGTGTCAATTCACTTGTTAGCCCCTCAGAGTTTGTGGAAATCTGGCCAGCACCACAAATTGACATTCTCAGTCATTGCTTTCTGATGGAAAACAACGCTGACTTCTTCTATGAATTAGATGATATTTGGCCCCCAAAGTATAGATGCGACGGCTTTACCATGTGATCGGCGCTCTCTGACGGAAAACAATAAACAATATTGACATCTGTCAAGGATCAGCTTCAATGCTTTAACGGCTTCACCGTGTGTTCGCTGCTTTCTAATGGAAAACAATAAACAATGCTGACATCTGCCAAGGACCCTGCATCTTTGATGCTTCAACAGCTTTACCGTGCAATCAGTCCTGTCTGATGGAAGACAATGAACAATGTTGACATCTGTCAAAAATTAGATCCACACGAAGCTCTCTTGATGCTTTGAGACAGCAGATATTCGGCAAAACTTCTTTGATTTGTATTGAATGTCAAGATAGCGAAGGCCCATCCCGAGGTCGACACCACATATGTGCCCCAACTCATCCAGAGTGTTCTCATGGAATTGTCACTGTTTCAGAACCCGCGGTGCTTCTCTCCATCCAAACCTAAATCAAGTAGCACATTAACAACAGTACGTACTCATAATTGTACATGTTCATCTCGTGTTTCTCCTGACTTCTTAATGGGTTTGTGTGTAGTAACCCCATGGACAAGCGCTTTCCTAAAGTAGCGCGCATGTAGTATCAAGTAAGCATATATGCGAAATGGTTATAATAAACCCTCATCGCTCAATCGTATACCCTTCCACTAACAACATCTCCAACTTCCCTCGCATCTATGACACCTCTTCCTGACAACAATGATCTTCGCCGGTGTATCACTGGTTTATACCTTGGCGACGACAACATTGCATCACAAGTTGGCTGGATTTACGCAAAAGCTCGACGTTGCCATGTCCTCTGCCTTCATGGCACCAATAAGGCCGACCTGAACCCCACTCCCGTCGTCCTCCATGGCATCTTTGCCTTTTCACGACAACCATTCAAGCTGCTTCCGGATGGTGGGTTTCGCGAGTCTAACATGCCGGAGTACTTCAATTTCGGTGTATCACTGCAAGAAGCGATGGCAAGGACAAATGCGTGGGCACGGCTCGAGAGGATTCAAGACAATGAGCTGCTCGGATTCAGCGATTTCCCACAGTACATCAAGAATCTCAAAAGTTTTGAGGGATTGATGCATGTTGGTGATGCGCCCACATACTCTTTGGTTAGTGATGAAGGCGCCAGTGGGCCCCAGGTTAAGGTCATCCACAGAATGTTCGAGGTAAGTTTTTTGTATCCTGCTCACTACTGTCCTCTGAGAACACTGTCCGATAGTCTTGCTGGGATACGATTCGTTTGGCGACAACGCCTCAACAATCAGATATTGAAGGTACGTGGGCATGGCTGACAACAACTTAGACAAAGCAACTTACTGGGCCTTCATGATAGCGGAGGCAAAAACGCGATATAAGCTCACTCCTGGAGACCACCCTGTTGCTGTGAGATTGGCCAATGCTAGTACGTAATTAGTCCAAATTCCAACAAACATGTCTCAAGATCAACAACAGAGTCCCCTGGAAACACTTCTAGCGTAACTGTCATGATCATGCATTCCGGCCTGTTAGCCGCCCATCCCGATGCTGCCCGAGCCCATTCCCGCTATGCGAGCGCGAGCGCGAGTCCCGACCTCAGCCCCTATTCTCCATGAGGGCCCCCCGCTCACTCCCCCGCTTGCCCCTAGGCTCCCCTGCACCTGGCCGACTCCCCTACAGCCACACCAACCTTTCTGCCCTGAGTCCGCCTCCGGCACCACGCCTAGCACAACTCCCCTACCTCGCCCACTTGGCCCTACAGGGCCGCTACCCTCCCCGCGCCCGACTCTGGCCCAACTCCGAGTCCAGCGTTACTATGATACCATCGCCACTATTGCGGCCCTACGCTCCTTCCTCTGTTTATCTGTTATTGTTTGTTTGACCCTCGGTCATTGCCGGCCGCTGTGTGGCCGACCCCGCTCCTTCTTCTTGTTTGCTTCCGGACCCTTCGGCCTTCGGCCCGGGTCCGCTTCCATTCATTTCTCCCTCCTATATATATCCTGTATACTACATTATAGTACCTTAGCTCTAATATCGACTTGACCACGACCCCAAGCCCTGACCCCAACAAGGCAGCCCCAGTAAGTTCGAAATGAGGGCCAAGAGACAACTAGGGGGCACAGCACTCCCTTTAGAGTTGCTGAGGCCGAATGCCCTACCCTCGGGCCTTGTCTGAGGCATCGCGGCCATCGCGGCCCTTAGCGGTCCGCATCGGCGACCTCCGGTGCCCACCTCCGGATCAGTATCTAACAGTAACAGTGGAACCTTCCGTGTCCCGAAGTCTCAAGCCAAATGCAGAGCTGCCGACAGAGCCAAGCACGCTGCCAACAGAGCCTACCACACTGCGAACGGAACCTAAGACTCCAGAAAGCAGGGTGAAAGGTATGGGACTTCTGTACACTGTACATTGATAACTCGCGAAGCAAAAATCCGACTCATAGCATTACCCGATCTGGATGGATGCAGTGATAACACAACGAATCAGGTTTGCTCCATTAATTCTTTGCCCACATTTCATGTATGAGCTAATAATATTCAACCATAGTCGACGGCTTTTTGGGCCCTGAATTTGGGCTGGAACATTGGCCAGTGGCACCGGAAAATTTTCGCATCCGAGACAAAATGTTCAAGGAGCAAAGGTGGCAAACGAATCCGTTACATGCATACCGCGAGGGTATTCAAGGTGTTATCTCCCCTGCAGAGTATTCGACCGCACTTCCAGGAGCTACTGTCCAGGCTTCTTTCACCCTGGCCTGTCATTTGATAGGAAGTAAGACTGGCAAGAGAGTGACCTATTCTGCACGCATGGAGGAGACAATCGTGCTTAAGAACCCGCCCCCCCTTTTCAGCGACCATGCAGAGAGTGGATCCCCTTCGAAACGACAATTCTCTGGACCATCCTTCTCTCCCGTTAAGTGCCAAAGGCAGAGGTAATGCGAGAAGGTGCATTTCACTTTTGCCGACTGCCTTTGCCGCTAAACAGTTATCTTAGAGCAGCTCTCATTGTTTTTACAATATCCTCTTCATGATTCAACTCAGTATCATTATTCGCCTCTCCCAACCACTTGTGCGTTGAATATAAATAAACAGGTCCGGAGTTGGCCGAACTGATAAATGAAGTGAATATTGGCCTCGTGATGAGAAAGTGTGTCACAACCCGGCAATTCCCACGGTCAGGTGATCACTCCCCACACCTTCTCCCTCCCCCGCTTCGACCCTGTCAACCCTGCTGCCCACCCAACACCACCTGAACAAGCCCGTCACCCTTCCCCATCACCACTACCTGTTTCCACGGCCCATCACGGGCCTACGAGTCTTTCTTTATCACGCTTGTTTTTCTTGACGGCCGTACACAGCCGTCCTTCTCCCACACTCTTTGTTTGTTTTCGTTTCTTCTTAACCCCGCCTGCAATCTCCATGAGATCTGGCGACTTAATTCCATTCATTCCGTTATACTTAAATACCGGTTGTACACTACCTTGTACTTGAGTTCGAAAATCAACTAGGGTTACCCCCTGCACTCTCTGTCTGACCCAGTCGCACCTTCTGCCTCCTGAAATATCGGGGCCGTGTCAAGTATGAGGCGCAACGCTCACGAACGAGTCGTTGAAGCTGAAACCCCTTCCTGCCGCGATTGTCATCCCCGCCCTTGACGGGCTGTTACGCCGAAGTAGCGGACCTTAACGGTTGCCGACAGCGAGTCACGGTAATGTTTTCCCATGCCCGACAAAGTGTTCACGTGAAGCAAGGTCATGGTTGTGAAGCAACCTTTCTAGTGATATCAGTGACCCGGGAATTTCGATGACTTCGATGACTGTCAGTGAAATTTAGTGGCCCAAGCACTATCCCAGACTCGTACCCAGTCGTCATCGCTCCGTGGACGCGCATTGCACACACGCAATTTCAAGTTGGGTTTATATTAAAAGTCACAGTCACCTTTACATGATGCATGAGTAGTCATCTTTTGTATTGAACCCTTAAAGTCACATGTGCCGGAAATAGAGTTAAACCCGATCACCTACTCCGAAAACCAGCGCACGACACTTTGCTCCAATGACTGGCACAAAAGTTGGGTGGCGGTGTTTTTCGGCAGCATCCGGGACTGAATTGTTGAGTCCACACAACTTGTGCACAACAGATTAGGTTGTAGTCCAGTGCATTTTTAGTGTCAACTCACATAAGATTTGTACCTGACCCACCCCAAAGGGTATGAAGGGCTGCAGAGTCAATAACCTGAGCATGCAGAGAATCTAAGCCTTATATATTACTTTGAGAGCAATTACTGTGTTGGTGTGAGTTAGTGCAGATGGTATAGCATTCGCTGAGGCTATGCACTTTTTTTGCTTGCTCGGGTTCGACTCCCACTTGGTAACTTCCTTTTTTCATTCATTCCTCACTATGTATAAATTTGTCGCATGTATGAAAGGGGTGATGCATGAAAAAAAGGAGGTTACCAAGTGGGAGTCGAACCCGAGCAAGCAAAAAAAGTGCATAGCCTCAGTGAGTGCTATACCATCTGCACTAACTCGCACCAACACAGTAATTGCTCTCAAAGTGATATATAAGGCTTAGATTCTCTGCATGCTCAGGTTATTGACTCCGCAGCCCTTCATACCCTTTGGGGTGGGTCGGGTACAAATCTTATGTGAGTTGACACTAAAAATGCACCGGACTACAACCTAATCTGTTGCGCACAAGTTGTGTGGACTCAACAATTCAGTCCCGGATGCTGCCGAAAAACACCGCCACCCAACTTTTGTGCCAGTCGTTGGAGCAAAGTGTCGTGCGCTGGTTTTCAGAGTAGGTGATCGGGTTTAACTCTATTTCCGGCACATGTGACTTTAAGGGTTCAATACAAAAGATGACTACTCATGCATCATGTAAAGGTGACTGTGACTTTTAATATAAACCCAACTTGAAATTGCGTGTGCGCAGTGCGCATCCATGGAGCGATGACGACTGGGTACGAGTCTGGCACTATCCCAAAGACTTGCATCCAAAAAAGTATTTTGCATTTTTCTCAATAACTTGCTTGTCAATTTAGTCTCAAATTATATATTCTGGAAGCTATTTGAAGGGGCTATCCAACTGACACCGTGGGAAACAGTCTGGACACCCCTCTGGACAATGACCAGCACTGTGCACAGACATGAGGTGGACAGCCACACTAACCCAAAAGACTCGTGTCCAAAAAAGTATTTTGCGTTTTTCTCGATGATTTATTGGTCAATTCAGTCTCAAAATATATATTCTGGAAGCTATTCAAAGGGGCTATCCATCTGCGTAAAGTGTGTTGGGGACGTGGGAAACAGTGTTGACACCCCTTCAGACAGTGGCCAGCATTGTGCACAGACAGTTGAGCAGCCTGAGGATTGTCATGGGAAATCAGATTCAATTGCGGCATTATGTTTTGAATGTGAATAATTCAAATTTGATTGAATCACAGAAGCATTTGATTGAATTTGATTGAATTATAGAATCATCCCAGGACATCCTAGGACATCCTGGGACATCCTGGTGAATCAGCACACAGATCTCCAACACGTGACACCACCTCGAAAAGAGAGGGCTAACGTTGGCCGTAACAGAAGCACACACACACACACACACCCTAGCACCTTACCACTCACCTACCAACAGATCCAACCCCCACCATGGCCGAACATCAAAATTCGGACCCAGGAGGGACATCCGACAGTCACCTGATGCCGACACACCAAACGCTCAACAATTGGTCGAACCTCAACGCCATACAGCTCTCTCTCCACGGCCAAGCAGACGTAGTAATGGAGACCGACACCCTCTGGCCTAGAACAGACCCCACAGAAGACGACCAGCAAACCATCGGCAACATCACTGAAATGATGCGGGACACACTAGACGGACTCGCCCTCATTAGAGATACAGGCATATGGAACCACCTGCACTACTTCAAGAGCTGGCTCCAGGAGATACTGGCGCTGGACACTGAGAACACGAAACCGGGCGCAGCTGAGTCCAACCCTAATAACCTCACCGCGCTAAACGACATTCTCTTAGAACTAACACAAAGAGTCCATACACTAGAACTTGGACAAAGCGCACACCACACCGCACTGCCCACCGCCCACTGCCCACCGCCCTGCCCAGAGACCCGGAGACTGCAGCCACTCCCATGTCGGCACCCAAAACAACATGGGCGAGCGTGGCAGCCAGACCCCCCCAAATGCCCATCCCAGCCGTCACGGTCAACAACCAAAACCAAGACGACACCACACCACACCCAACTGAACCCACCTCAACAGCTGACCCGAGATGTCTTATCATCCAGCTGAACCCCCCGATCAAACTAGAAGACCACCCGAGCGGCATCGTAACACGAGAGAAGATCAACAATCTCCTAGAGAAGAAAAACGTCCCGCACTACCTGAGAGTGATGGCCATTGGATACTCGGTAGCGGGTAATATCAAAATCACGTCAGCCCCGACATGTAAAGCCTCCGACCTCATCGCCTTCAGACACGAGATAGCAGCCACAATCACCCAAAACGAGGTAACATCCGTATTGCCGGATGTGGAGCACTACCGCGTCAAGATCAACAAAATCCCGACACACAACAACGATGTCCCGATCTCC